TTTTCCTTTTTCCTTTTTCCTTTTTCCTTTTGTTTTTAACATTCTTCCAAGATGATGTCTTCCAGAAGTTGCAGCGTTGCAATTAACGGAAAATTTTGTGCATGTATCAATCTTGGAAGCACATTCTGCACTTGTTTGGTACACAGTCCCATCAGCTTGCACCCAAGCTTGATTTCCCTGCATCGGCCTCTGTGAGACCTCTCTGCATCTGCAGCCATGAGGGGAATGAGGTTGGGCAACTTTGGGTTAAACCTGAGCCCACCAATGAAGTGAAGGGCTCGGCTTTGGCTTGACCACTTTACCAACCCAGTTTGCTGTAGCAGGTGGGCAGAAAAGGGCCACTGGGAACAGCTTCTTGTTAGAAAGTCCCAAACATTGTGGGGTACTGCTGTTATTCCTATTTTTTAGTACAGACAGCAGTTTCTATTTGAATGTAACAACAGGAGCTTGTTGGACCTCATTAAGTTGGGAAATGAGATGTCCTTGCGCAAGAGTAGCAGTGCTTTAGAGTACTATTAAAGACATCTATATTGTTTAAAACAAAAAAGGTTATCTCTCGTAAATAATTCAAAAGCAGTGGAAGGTAGTGATGTGACTATGAAGTGGGTGGGTTATCCATTCCTAGTTATTTTATGATTAGATGAATTTTTTCTTTGTGTTTTGTCAGTATACGAAGGCAGAGTTGGCAGTGACTGTAAGTCATTAACATGCTGTCTTTGTGTCCTCAGTCTGTTACCAAGGTTCTGTGTTAGCACTGCAATATTGTTAGCCTTGCTGTTTGTAACTCATGCCTTAGTAGGCAATTTCTGGAACAAACCTTCTGGTCAAAATGGCCTGAACTTCCTATTCAGTCCTGATGGTGTTTTGTCAGGATGAATTTGAGACGTGTTGTGAAGGAGCCATGGAGAAACCTCAAATATGGATTATATTGTTACTTAGGGGAGTCTCTTGATCTGTATAAACACTGACTCAATAGTCAAAACCCAGAAGAACTGTTAAATTATAAAATATTACTGTAAGGCTGGGAAATCTGACCTGATGATGTACTATCTGGTATCATGATATAGCAGAAGCTGTTACCCAGGAGTAGAAGGTTGTGATTCAGAAGAGAACCATCACTGCAGTCTTGCTTGAAAGCTTGCTGTTAGGAGGAAATCTGCAGAGGAATAATGCTGGTGACTATAAGCTGCAGAAAATGGATTCAACTCCTTAGTTTTTATCCTGAGTTTGCAGAAGAATCAATGATGCAGAGACTGAGTCAGACTGTTGTGCGTTCATGCCTTGTACAAGTTTATTTCCTGTAGTATTTTTTCACTGATATACTTAATCTAACCTAAAAATATCTAAGATTCTTTTTTTTCCTTTCACAGTTTTAAAATATTTCTTGATGGCCTGATTCTTCCTTTGCATGATCCCATTGATCCTAGCTAGATACAAAGGCGTGTCTTAAACAAAATACTTTCTAAAGGCAGTAAATGTGAATAAAATTATACTTTAAAAAGATATTTAATTAATTTGAGAGACCATACAATAGTTTATTTACAGAAATCATGGTGATGCCTGGGGATTTTTGGCAATGTTTTTCTTTTCACTCATGGTTGCAGACACTTGAAGAGGTTCAAGCCATTTCTTTCTCTCAAGGAAAATGACTTTTTTGTTACTAGTCTTCTATTAGTGCTGGTGATACACGATGATAGTAATGAAATAGTGATTATGCATGTCACGTAATTGCCATCAAGGTAAAAGAGCAGGTGTGTCACGGCACAGTTTCCTCAATCAGAGGATGCAGTGCATCGGTCAGTTCGGTCCCCGTTAAACAGCAGCAACAGAAGGGGAACTGTACGCTTTCTGGTGCTGCCTCTGTAGAGTTCAGCCTTGCTCATGTTAGTGGTCTGAATGTTTCTTCCCACAGACAGCCAACTCAAAAGGTAGAGAGAAATTTTCTGTTAGATCGCTTTTGTTGATGGCTTTTATTTATAATCCCATTCTAAAAGCTTTTTATCAGACGTAATTAACAACTAAGTAGTTAAACTAGCCTTAGGTCCTGTGTGGCAACCTGAAGTTGGTATTTTAAGCAAAGGAGTCATGAGTGCTGATGCTACAGTTGGGGTCAGTTCTCACGTTTATTCAGAAGTTAAGTGGGAGACCGAATTACCGGCATCGTTTCCTCTAGTAATATTATTCTTTGTGGCATTATGGATTTTCTTTTAGATACTAATATGTGAAGGGATAATAAGATAAGTTGATTGCAGTCAGACTATAAAATATTTTGTGGAGCACATCAGAGGAATATCTTGAAGATAACCTTACCAAAACCCCTCTGTTATTTGATACAGCATTTAGTGTTTGGAGAGCCAAAATTGACAAAATTGTTTAGTACGTAAAGATGAGCTATTCCTCTGAAAAGATGGGATTTAATCCACATTTCATAGTGAAAGCTGTGTCGGGGATCTGGCTTCTGTCTGATTTTTTGTGCTTTGCTTTTGTTTCAACTTTGCAGGCTGAAGGGGACCAGTTATCTCCAGAACACACCGTCAGCCAGTATGAAACATGCAAGATCAGGACGATAAAAGCTGGAACTTTGGAGAAACTTGTGGAGAACCTTCTGACAGCTTTTGGGGACAATGATTCTACCTACGTCAGTATCTTTCTGTCAACATACAGGGCCTTTGCTTCTACTAAGCAAGTACTGGATCTTCTCCTTGACAGGTAAGAGCCAGTATATAATGGAAAATGACATTTACATGATAGGGGATATTGTCAAGAATTTCTTCCATTACTTTTGGTGGACAGGGACTTCATAACCCAATGGACAAATGTCAAGAATGCTGCACAATTCAGAATTTCAGGCTAAGCATAAGGTGTGTAAATGCATGCTGCCTACATCCCAACTCTCATTAAAGCATAGTCACCAGGTAGGGAAAATGTGGCGTGTCTGACTGCTGAAGATCCAGACTGGGACTGGCACAAGAAAATTAATATGGCTTTCCCCGCGAAACCAGAACACGTGGGCTGCAAAGTCATACCGAGAATAGATTCCTGTGTTTTGCTGGATACTGATCTTTTCAGACCTAAATCTCCTGTTTAGTGGCTGCTGATTTGAAACAGGGACTGCACAAACGTAAGGAAGAATTCACTGCCCATTTCTATTACTTCACATGAACATGCAGTCATGAATTTTTGCCAACAGCACAGGAACCACTTAATGCTATAAGAATAGCTTTTATGGTAAGATTGTTAAATGACATCTTCTGTATCTGTATAAATGCTTAGAACACATAGCATTAGTTTTTTCACCCTAAATTCTAACTGGGACATGACTGGGCCAGAGGTGATCTTACTTCGGGAGTGTCATATATACTGTATTTCCAAAATCAAGTGATGTAGAGAAACAGTTATTCTGGCATATTGTAATTAGAACAGAATTTTGGCTCTGCTTCTAGGCAGATAAGGAACAAGGCATGGATGAGTTATCTGTGCTTTTCTTTTGTATCTGAAAAGGAGCATACTACTGCTTGCTTTGTAGGAATGTTACGTGGCTCAATCAATAACCACATTGAAATGCTCAGCTGCTGGTTCTGCTGTGACTGTAATAACAGCTGTGGTTGCTAAGGTCCAGTAACTTCACAGCCAGGTGAGGAGTCAGGTGAAGAAAGAGCAGCCATCCTGGGGAGCAGAACATGAGGAGCAATAAAAATTGACAGTACATATATGCAAGAATATAAAAATGTTCAGGAATTCCTTCTTTGAATGGGTGATTCTTTCTCTGCCCTCAGATTTGGATTCCATGTTTTGGACATACGTATCTTGGAAGAACAAAATATGTAATGACACCAAGTTTGTGTGGCTTATATTAACTTTAAAGAGGAGCTGGCTCATCGAGTGACAGTGTGTCGTAAGAATCTCTCACTTCTTAAGCACGTGAATTGCCAAAGAGCCACAAATTTCTAGAAGCAGCCAATAGATGTATGCGTATACGTTGTCACTTTCAGCCAGTAGTGCTTCATACATGATTTACTTTACTTTTAGAAAGATACGTTTTTAATAGAAAAGGTTGGAATTAATAAAATAGTAGCCTTGGCAAGGATGCTTTGTCCAAAATAACTATTTTAAATATCATTCCCCGAACAGGGCAGTCTCTGTTGCTGTGTTTTGGTCGGTTGCCAGACTGCTCTTCTGTAATTCTTATGTATTAGTTGATGTGTATCTGGGAAATTTTCTTTCTCTAATCAATGAGAACTTGTGAGTCAGTCAACTAATGCGAATCAGTCAGTCAAAGGTGACTCCAAACCTGATGGTACACACCTCGCTTTTCAATTAAAGACTCTTCAGTTGTCTTAAGACAACTTATTTTGTCTTAAAGTGCACTCATATATCCTGTTTAAACGCCCAGAAAGCATCTTTATGTCCGTTTCCCACCCAGTTCAGCATAGCTTTCATTTTTAGTAGTTTCCATTCTTATTTCTCTATTATGGATGTACTTCGGAAATGCAACTAAATGTCCCACCCGAGCCTGTGACCTCATTTCACAAATCACTGTACAAACATGCCTAGAAATGTTTGCAACACCCTCCAGCCTGCAGACCCTCTGCTATCGAGAGATGATACAGAAAAACAGTGATGAGAGGAATAGGCTGTGATGCAGATAGTTAGGAGGAGCATACTGAGCAAAGAGTAAGGGTCTCACTCATAGTGCCAACCTTGGAATTCAACCTGGGTTTTCACACATCCAAATTTCAACACATCTGTATCTGGCTCTTTTTTGCTGTCCTCAGGAGGCAGATGACTGTTGCACAAAGAGCAATTCATATATTGTGCTTGTTTAACTTGTATAGTTCTGAAAGATCCCATGTATCTGACAAAAAAATTTAGAATCTACTGTCAAATCTGTTAAGCTGGATGTCACCCTTTGCCACTTAATAGGGGGCATTGCTTTTCAGAATTGCCAATTTACTCCTTCAGCGACTACTGAAGTAATTAAATTTCTCTGTAATTGAGGTTTGAAGCATTTTAAACTTGAGGTTAGGGTCAAAGGGGTAATCCATTGAGACAGAAGACCATCCTACAGTCACTCTTGTTATGATTTTGATTGTTTTGTGGTGTTTCATCACCAGCCATTAAAATCTTCAAACTGTTTGGCTGCTCTGTTGTAAGGTTGCTGAAAAAGTATTTTGGAAATGTTGCTTTTGCATTGAAGTTTGTAGAGTCCTTTAGATAAACAGTTCTATTTTCTTCCCATATTTTCCCTCAGTGAAAAGGATCATAGCAACCTAAAAATAGAAATGTACAAAATTAATGAAACATTGAAGTTATAAAACCAGATACTCAGAAATCAGGAATTTGAGAGGGGAAGGAACTCAGGGTCCTTATGAGGTTCATACATCATGTCTACTTCAGTGATGTTTTCTTTAATATAAATATTAATGATTGGAGTTTAAAACAGCCCGAAGAGAGTAATTACTCATTCTCTAAGAATCGTTGGTCATGAGACGCCTGAACTCCTTAGGCCCCTGTGAAAATGTGAGCTCCGTGCAGTAAAGGTTTCTGTAAATTGTATAGCTGGTGCAATTTAGCTCAGTTAACTCTTCAATTAAGTCCTTAACATTTTCATATCTGGGAATTACATCTGTAATCTTACAGTTGAGTTGGAGCACAAAAGAAGTGGCAAGCCTGACTTCTGAGCCTTTCTTACATTTTCTCAGGAGCTTACCAGAGGAGAGAAATTCAGCCTTGCGTGGAAAAGCTGTTGAGCAGACAGGACTAACTCAACTCTGAAATCTATGCATAGCCAGGTTGTAATGGATTTCATATGATAGGAATGAACAGGAAAATAGGTGTCCCCTTCTAAAGATGATGTGCTTGTTACTCACTGCATTGTTGGCTGCTGATTGAGGGGAAGGATCTTGGGCCAGACTTGTGCGCTCCTGTGTCCTTGTGGTCTTGAAGTGATTGAGTTCCTGTTCCATTGGGTTTTGGTAATGTGCTGGCATGATGGAAGCCCTGCTTTAAGGAGAGGCATCCTCTTGTGGTTGGCTTTTAGGGTCGGTAGGGAGAATAAGTTCAGATACTGCAGTTTTGCTTCAAACAAATAACCTAAATGACATTTGTAGGAATGCCTTAGGTAAGTTGGGGCAGTCGTGTTGTTTAGAGCAGCAGCAAGTCAGGAGCATACCTGGCTCTGTGGAAGCTGGCCCTGCCCTCCCTCTCTGCTGCTGCTTTCAAGAGGTGAAAATGTCAGAAGAGGGCAAGAAAGCACAGGGGAAAAGTCTCCGTGGATCAGAACTTGCTTTTCTGAGCCCAGTTCTGATCTTGCTGCCTTGCATACCTCCCAGAGCAAGCTTCAGTGTCTCCTTTGGAGGAAGGGCACGTGGGCTGCCTGACCTTGTCAGCATGATCCCTGGCCTTTTATAATAAATGACAGAAGCCACAGGAAATCCTAGGGGGTGGTCACCACTTTCTTCCCTTCTCACAGATTTTAGAAGTGTGGTGGTTAAGGATCCATGAATGTTTCTCTTGGCATTTCGAATACCATGGATAATGTAGAATATTATGGCTTGGGGCAAAATATAGATGAAATTTAAGCTATAAAAGTTACAATGATTTACATGCAGCTGTGGAATATGGACTTGAGAAGAAAAGCAGATGTTATAAGGAAAAATTAAAAAAGGAGTGAATAGTAATTGAATTTAACCAGCTTAGTTTTCATCTCTACCTTAATGTAGAATAAGTAGCAAAGAGTTGCATTTTTGCAGCTTCCTTGTTAGTGACACTTGTTAATAATAACAGTACAGAGACTACAGCAGATGTCAGTGCATAATCTTTGTTTTATAAGTATTCATATTTTGTTTTCCAATGAAGTAAAAAAGTAATGGAAAGGGGCAATCTCTTAAAAGGCAAGTAAGATTTTGGCATTAGTTGTCAATTTAAGTTTTGTGTGAAGATCTCGAGCCCCATTTCTTGCTCTTGGTGACAGAGCAGGATTGTGGAGTAAGGGAACAATCATGAATGGCAATGCTGAGCTCTTGGTGTTTGGTCCAAGGAAGAATGCTGATGTGGCCAGATCGAAAAAGGTCCTTCCAGTTTCTTTACAGATGAGCAGCTCCCTGACACAGAGTAGGAGGGACCAACGTCTGCATCTCCCAGTTGTAGGCCACATTTTTTGTAGGGAAGTAGACATTGACAAATTTCCTCCTAACTTTATACATGTGGAAGCTGGGTTGTCCTCAAATCCAGTGCATTCAGTTTATGCTGGATTTTTTGTGGATGCATCCCTGCTGCAGAATTGACTGAGGTGTGCATTACACATACACAAATTCAGATTAGACAGAGAGTCTCCCAGGACTCTTGGAAAAGTGTCCTTGGCAATCTGGATGTATTGTACCCTGAGTCTGGAAGGATACCTGTCGGTCATTTGTTGTGGTCTGCAGTGCAAGCATTAACTGTATTTATTTGGGACATGAAACATTTATTCTGTCCAAAAAAGGTGAGATGCTTTTCCCTGAGTGACAGAGGCAAATAAAAAAGCAGATGCAATACTTAAGAGAAACTGAAGTGTTAGGGCAGAAAAGAAAAGAAGAACTTCTTACAGATGTGAATAATGCAGAATAATGGGTGCTTTTGTTAAATTGGTTCACACTGCAGTGACGTTTTGTGAAATCTTCAGGGCAAAACTTTTTTCCCACCTTGGGCTGGGAATAAATAAAATAAGC